ACAAGCATTTGATACAGCAATATTCTGCAAGTCCCTCCTAGGGCTCCCAGTGGAGGGGAAGAGCGGTTCCATCAATTGATTTCTGCCAGCTTGCTCCGATTCTGAAACACTGCAGCTTCTCATTACAGACAGAGCTGTTTGGATTTCTTTTTCAAAGAAAAGTTACAAGTTGTGAGAGCCTGGATGTGAATGATTGACAAATCAGTTTTAACTGTAAACATGGAAGGCTTCACACAGCTCTTTTGAAGATGTACAGTGTTTGCTATGGGTTGTGCAATTCTAGCGTACTCTTGTTAGAAGGAAGCGTGGCATGGCTTCCATTTTTGCAAACTGGAAGGGGGTTGTTTCTGTATTAGTTTGGACCAGGCATGGGCAAACTTCAGTCCTCTAGGTATTTTGGACTTCAACTCTCACTCACAGCGCCGAAGAGCTGTTGTGCTGTTGGGAATTATGGGAGCTGCAATCCAAAACACCCGAAGGGTTGAAGTTCACCCATGCCTGCTATACAGCTTGCTTGTATTGTGCTCTGAATTGCACCTTATTCTCCAGAAGAGACAAATGGAGCATGCTGCCTGCATTTTATTCTAAAGCAGGCATCCTCAAACTGAGTCCCTCCAACTGTTTGGGCCTCCAACTCCCAGAAGTCCCTATTGCAGTGGTTCTCAACCTGTGGGTCCCCAGTTGTTTTAGCCTTCAACTCTCAGAAATACTAACAGCTGGTAAACTGGATGGGGTTTGTGGGAGTTGTAGGCCTAGACACCTGGGGACCCACAGGTTGAGAACCACTACAATAGGGGCTTCTGGGAGTTGGAGGCCCAAACAGCTGGAGGGCTGCAGTTTTGAGGATGCCTGTCTAAAGCAAGGCCTTCCAGGGGTGTTTAGACTGCAGCTCCCATCATTCAGTATACTAGCTTAGGGAGTTGCAGTTAGACAGCATCTGGGAATCCACTTCAGATAATTTGTGTGTGGGGGGAGTGCAATATGTCTAAAACTTCAGGAATCTCTGCAACATCTGGGCATGTGTGGAAACAAAATAAAAGCAATTTCCTAGCCAAACAGGAAGAAATGTCCCAAGCAGTTTTTTTAGCTTGTTTTTCTGCATCCTTGTTTATGCTTTATATATGTGGCTTTAATTTTTTTTAAAAAGTTACCAAGATCTTTGAAAGAAAATACTTGATGTCTAAAATAGAACTACGCTGCACTCTTAAAAGTCTACAACTCAAGGAAATTGTGGCAGTCTTTCTGTACTTCCTAGTGACGTTTTTTGACATCAGTTCCTACAGACCACCCCAAAAGGCAACAGATTGTAAACATCTTGAATCAAAAGAAAGGAAATTGAATTCTAGATACTTAAATAAGGAAAATGAATGAATGAATGTATACACACACACACACACACACACATATATATAAAAATAAAAAAATAATAAAAAGAATGGTTCATTCAGGACATAGAGGTGAATGATATCATAGGACCATTCCATTGTGTACGTTTTGGCTCGTGTATACTAGTGCCAACACTTCACCTATATAGTGATGGATTCTGGGAAACCTGGCAGTGTGTTGTGTGAATATATTGATAACGCAAGGGAGAACTTACTCTGAAAAGCACCTATTAAGGAGTCTGTTTTTTGAGAACGTTTCACCCTCTTGGATAGTGGAGCCATCTTTATTAATGAATGGACTAGAAATTGAATCAAAGCTACGGAATCTGAATTCACACAATCCGCTGTATATTCTCCCTGATCTGTTCTTCAAAATAAGCTTAAGCAAACACACTGAAACCATGCTGAAATAATAATTTGGAATAAGGCCAATTGGGGAAGTGGCTTTTGGCTTATGCAGAGTCACCCTTGGTGCAATTTTGTGGATAATAAATCACAGCCTTAAAAGGAAAAAGGTTTTCTAAAATGGTATATTGAGGATTTTAAATGGATATAATGATAAAGGTAATTGCAGAGTAACTTACCTATGCAGGAAAGACAATCTGGGCAAGATGCCCCCATTTGGAATAATGCGGAACCCTATTTACAATTTCATAATTTCCAAGGAATTACCCTATGCTGCTTATATGTTCTGTAGTTAAACACTTGCTCTCTCTGAGTATAGACTGGATCTACACTGCCATATAATCCAGATTTTCAAAGCAAATAATCCACATCTGCTTTGAATTAGATTATGAATCTACACCAGGCATAGGCAAACTTCGACAATTCCTAACAGCCTACTAGCTCTTAGGGATGATGGAAGTTGAAGTCCAAAACACCTGGAGGGCCAAAGCTTCCCATGACCAGTCTACACTGCCATATAATCCAGTTCAAAGCAAATAATGTGGATTTTATATGGCACTATTGATGGGGCCTCAGATAACAATCAAGACTAAAAAGGTAACTCTATTTCTCCCAAAAGAGGAGATACTGTCTGGGTTGCAGTTTACTTGGCATATTGCTCAGATATGATTGTTTTGATTTCATCATAAAAATCTCTTTTAGAAACACGAGTATGTATTTCTTTCATACACATACTCATAGCATACAGATAGCTTTCTGTGCTTTTGTTTATAAGTACACGTTTATGGGTCAGTGAAGCATGGTTCTTTGTTCAGCACAGGATCTTAGAACTAGGCCCAAACCTAGTACTGCAAGATATTGCTTTCTGACAAGGAATTTTAACTTAAAACAAGGGGTATTTACCATTAGCGTGTGCACATTCAGTTTATAATTATATGATAAGAATGCAATTCTTGGTTTCCAACTGAACAAGTATTGGGTATATTATTTTAATGCAAGGCACCTATGTGTATCTCACCACACTAAAACAGTAGATGTGGCTCTTAATGAGACATGCCGCATTATCACGGGGTGTCTGCACCCTACACCACTGGAGAAATTACACTGTTTAGCCGGCATTGCACCACCTGACATTCGCCGGGAAGTAGCAGCCAATAGTGAAAGGACCAAGGCAGTGACATTCCCAGCTCATCCCTTGTTTGGGCATCAGCCAGCACGCCAACAACTTAAATCAAGAAATAGTTTTCTAAGATCTACAGAGACACTCGCTGGAACACCCCAGCAAGCAAGAGTCCAAAAGTGGCAGGCTCAAACCCAGAACCTCAACCAATGGCTGATACCAAATGAGAGACTCCCCCCTGGGCACACAGAAGACTGGGCGACTTGGAAGGCGCTGAACAGACTGCGCTCTGGCACCACGAGATGCAGAGCCAACCTTCAGAAATGGGGCTACAAAGTGGAATCCACGACATGCGAGTGTGGAGAGGAGCAAACCACTGACCACCTGCTGCAATGCAACCTGAACCCTACCACATGCACCACGGAGGACCTCCTTGCAGCAACACCAGAGGCACTCCAAGTGGCCAGCTACTGGTCAAAGGACATTTAATTAACTACCAAGCTTACAAACCTTGTTTTGTTTGTTAAAAAATACAATGCAACTGTTTGGTCTGCCCCTGACACAATAAATAAATACTAGCAGGATGAGTTTACTTCTTACAGGAAATGATAAAATGGGAGCGCCAAGCTGGGCAAAACAGGATAAAGGACCCTGAAGCAAACTGTCTGCATTAAGGAATTAAGCTTTTCATTTATTAACATTCATACATAGACTTAAAATGATCAGAGGCAAAACTATGCAGTGCTTAACACCTTACTTGTCACAGTACATGGCAGCCAGCAGTTTGGGGCTGGGCATCTTCTCTGTTACTCACAAAATACAGTGGCTCCTGATAAAACAGCAAGTTGCCTGGCCATATTTGTGAAACGCAAGCTGATCAAAATGCTTATGCAAGAGCCAGGGGAAGACATATATGTAGAGGATAGTAAACCTGGCAAATGTGATCACCGTCTCGCTTAGGCCAATAAGGAAGTACAGATGCAAAGTTTATCCCCACTGAATAGAAAAATTGTACTTTCAATTTAATTGAAACCAGCACCGGACAAGGCTGCACTCTGTGGTGTCACTGTTAGCAGGCAGGTCCAGCTCACGGAAGGCACTTTCTGTCTGATTTCAAAGGGAATCCCCTTCCCCACTAACACTCACCCATTCAGACATCATTCAACCTCCTGTTCAGGGATTTTGGGGACTCTTGGGTCACACTCCCAACCACCCAATGTCCAAGAAAAAACCCTGCTGATTTGCAACAACCTTTCCTTAAACTTCACCAGTTGAAGCAGGACAGGAATTGTTTTTTTGGTTTCAACACGCATTGCTTTGCTAAAGTCTAAATAATCTTACAGCCCACACTTGTGTTCAAATGGTACCTTTTGGAGAATCTGCGATGCTTTGTTTCAAGTCAGTACATAGTACTGCATCTTAAGTTTCATGTGCAAAAGTTATCTTTGACCTCTGACCCAATGCATCCATCAGCACATTCCATCTTCATGCAAAGCTCTTTATTGTGGGGCTTTCCCATTCCACCCTCATAGTGACAACCTTCCTGAATCAAAGCATTTCTATGTATAATGTTGAAGGCATTCATGGACAGAATCACTGGGTTGTTGTAGGTTTTTTGGGTTGTATCGTCATGTTCTAGAAGCATTCTCTCCTGACATTTCGCCTGTATCTGTGGCAGCATCCCCAGAGGTTGTGAGGATGCTTGCAACAGATGCAGGCAAAACATCAGGAGAGAATGCTTCTAGAACATGGCCATACAACCTGAAAAACCTACAACAACCAAAGCATTTCTGATACTATGTTCAATGCAAAGACTAGTGAAGCTGGAGCTCTGCTACTGACTCACCATGTCTGAGCAATCAGCAGCAAGCTATAGAATCATATATTCTTCTTTCTTTCAACGCGTGACTATGCACACAGCTAGAGTCATGAAACTGTTGAGCTTGCACTGATGTTTGGCAGTGTTCTTGAAGCCAGAGCCAGCTCCTATCTGCACTGGCCAGGTTGACGAATTATAGTAATCTATGATAATCCATCCATAAACCAGCACTTGGCCCCCACTCTACCACGTCATGTACTGTAGCAAGAAGTTGAAGGACAATTAACTTTAATTTTGGATTTACATAAAACATATCCCGCACAAATATATAGGTATTTAGATACAGCGATGGGATTTTCCTTGAAAAGCAATTCAGGAAAAAGTGTCCTCTAGAATTTGTCCTTTCCTGGTTACAGGAATGCCTCTACGCCAGACCTAGGAATATGTGCAAATGAGATGCATCTTGATTTATCCTGTTGAGAAACAGAGAGAAAAAGAAAGGGGTTATTTTAATGCAAAGAAATGTGAGGTCTCTTTTTCTTTAACTTTCAAATTTCAACTTGCCTTTAAAAAACATGTTCTACCTTAGTACTTGCAAAGGTAAGCCTGAAAGATAATGGGTAATGGGTTGCTATGAGTTTCCCAGGTTGTATGGCTATGTTCCAAAAGCATTCTCTTCTGACATTTCGCTCACATCTGTGGCAGGCTTTCTTAGAGGTTGTGAGGTTGGCTGGAAACTAGGACAAGTGAGGTTTATATATCTGTGGAATGATGTCCAGGGTGGGAGAAAGAACTTTGTCTGTGTGAGGCACGTGTGAGTGTTGCAATTGGCCACCTTGAGTAGCATTGAATGGCCTTGCAGCTTCAAGGCTTGGCTGCTTCCTGCCAGAGGAATCATAGAATCATAGAGTTGGAAGAGACCTCATGGGCCAGCCAGTCCAACCCCATTCTGCCAAGAAGCAGGAAAGTTGCATTCAAAGCACCCCCGACAGATGGCCATCCAGCCACTGTTTAAAAGCTCCCACCACATTCCAGGGCAGAGAGTTCCACTGCTGAATGGCTCTTACAGTCAGGAAGTTCTTCCTGACGTTCAGGGGGAATCTCCTTTCTTGTAGTTTGAAGCCATTGTTCTGTGTTCACTCCTTCCTCCCTATGACTTCCTCTCATGTATTTATACATGGCTATCTTGTCTCCTCTCAGCCTTCTCTTCTTCAGGCTAAACATGCCCAGCTCCTTAAGCCGCTCCTCATAGGGCTTGTTCTCCAGACCCTTGATCGTTATAGTCGCCCTCCTCCGGACACATTCCAGCTTGTCAACATCTCTCTTCAATTGTGGTGCCCAGAATATTCCAAGTGTGGTCTAACCAAGGCGGAATAGAGGAGTAACATGACTTCCTTTGTTAGGTGTTAGCTGGCCTTGATTGTTTAATGTTTGGAATTCCCTGATTTTGTGAGTGTTGTTCTTTATTTACTTTCCAGATTTTAGAAGTTTTTTAAAATACTGGAAGCCAGATTTTTTTCATTTTCATGGTTTCCTCCTTTCTATTGAAATTGTCCACATGCTTGTGGATTTCCATGGCTTCTCTGTGTAGTCTGTCATGGTGGTTGTGAGAGTAGTCCAGCATTTCTGTGTTCTCAAATAATATGCTGTGTCCAGGTTGGTTCATCAAGTGCTCTGCTATGGCTGACTTCTCTGGTTGAATTAGTCTGCAGTACCTTTTAATGTTGATCAAGGTAGCCAACTGCAACCTTCGCACTTGCCTCAAACAGACCAGAGTTCTTTCTCCCACCCCGGACATTCCACAGATTTATAAACCTTGCTTGTCCTAGTTTCCAACAGACCTCACAACATCTGAGGATGCCTGCCATAGATGTGGGAAAAAAGTCAGGAGAGAATGCTTCTGGAACATGACCATACAACCCGGAAAACTCACAGCAACCCAGTGATTCCAGCCATGAAAGCCTTCTTCAACACATAATGGGCAATGTTTGGCAAGAATCTTAGATCACAAAATCACGAAAAGAATTCAACAGCCCAGCATCTTATCTTCTCCAAGAATTGTAACTTTGCCAGAACACTTACCTAAACTTTGGTAATTACATGCCATTGTCACTGGCAACCATTTTTTCTGCTTGGTGATGAATTCAGGAATAATTCAATGTATCTATGTTCTGCAGAACAAAAATAGAAGAGCTTTAGTAGATTAACACTTTGAAATTCAGCAATACCGAAGTACCTGAGGGACCGCCTCACCCCCTACCAACCCCAGAGATCCCTCCGCTCTGAGGACCAAGATTTATTGGAAGTCCCCAGTTTTTAAAACCTTATGTCTCACAGAAACCAGACGCAGAGCCTTCACAGTAGTGGCACCATCGTTATGGAACACTCTGCCACCAGAAGTCCGTGCCTTGCGGGATTTATCAGCTTTCCACAGGGCTTGTAAGACATATTTGTTTCAACAGGCTTTTGATCTTTGATACGTTGTTTAATTTGTGTTAGATTTTAGTTTGTTCTTGTAAGCCGCTCCAAGCCCTAGGGGAGTGGCGGCATATAAGTTTGAAATATAAATATAAATAAGTAAATAGATAAATAAATACAATGTACAGTAACATAGCATCACTCATGTTATATTACTGTCATTGTCCAAATTCTTCATCTCAGATTATCTGGAGTTGCCATTCATATGAGCTGAAACTGTCCCAAGTGGCCTCATCAGACAAAGATAGTCCTAAACTTTTGCTGCAAGCAAAAAATAAGGGGCAGATAGGAGTTTGCTGCACCTATTCTATACTTCACAACAATTCACACTAAGATAGAAGCCATAAACCCCTATCTTCCATTTCAGACACAATGCTGTTAAAATATTGTGTATTATTATTATTAGTATGTTTATTTATACCCCAATATTTTCCACAAGAAGACTCGCAGTGTATAAAATGATCTTCAGACCATGTGTATATGATGCATATGGAACATTAATGAATTTTGTTTAGACTTGGACCCCATATTCAAGATATTTCATTCTCTATAAGCAATTATTCCAATATCTGGAACAAAATCTGAAATATGGAATGCTAGTCCCAAGTATTTCAGATAAGGGATGTTTAACTTGTATCAGATTTTGCGTATGTGCAATTGACAAGCAGTGTATTGACTGTAATCTTGACAAAGGAAACAGGTACTTGAGGTTCTAATATTATAGCCTTTTATTGATCTATTGCCATGCATCGCAAGGGAACAACATGCAAGTAGGACAACCAGAAAATAAATCTTCACCTAAAGAAAGACCTTATTGCATCCTATGCCCTTTGTCACACATTTTTCCTGTCTCTGATTCAAGACTGGATGGCCCATGAGGTCTCTTCCAACTCTTTGATTCTATGATTCTATGATAAGACTCAACTGCTAAGTATGCCTGCCCTGTTTGGCACAAGTCTGCCCATGCGAAGCAGGTGAGCATAGCATTGAATGAAACATTCAGAATAATCACAGGATATCTCAAACCCACATCTGTTGATGAACTCTACATGATAGCTGGCATTGTGCCCTCTTGATGTGTGATGGGAAGTTGTTAATGGTGAGAAGGTTGAACACCGTGAACGTCATCAACTGCAATGACTATCAGCCTCCTCCCAATAGACCCAAATCAAGGAAAAGCTTCATAAGAAACACCACTCCTCTTAATGTTCCCTCAGCAACAGGAAGAGTATCCTGGGCAGCTAAACCAGGAAATCCCAAAAGGATAGCCCCCCACGAAGGTCTTCCTCCAGGGGCAAACCAAGAATGGGCCACTTGGAAGTCCCTGAACAGATCAGAACTGGAGTGGGCAGAACCTGGCAAAATGGCACTACCTAGAAGAATCCACCTTGTGCAACTATGGAGCAGAACAAACAACTCAGCATCTGTATGCTTGTCCACAATGCCCTGCCTCAGGTAGAGAGGAAAAAATGTTTAAAGCTATAGACAATGCGGTCACTGTGGCCCAGTTAGGGTAAATAAATATTTACCCTCTTGTGCTGTTTTATCAGTTTTATACTTATTTCTACAATACTTTTGATACAAAATAAATAAAGATTCAATACTATCCTTGCATTACCCTCCCAATCCTGAATATCCCAAAGGAAAAGGGAAAACTTACGAACGTGAGACCTGTTTTTGGCCATGGCAGCAACTGCATCTTCATGCGTCTCAAAGTGCACGTCTGCTTCTCCGGTGGCTTTCCCACTTGAGTTATATTCCATAGTGATCCTCACTGGTTTCAGGGGCGCAAAAAACTTTTAAGGAATTGAGGGGAGAAGATGTCAGATTTTGTAACTCATTTGATTATCAGCTGGTTTGTCCCAGTGATTCCCCCCCCCCCCAACTTCTCTCTCTTTCAGCAGAAATTTGGGAGATTGGTTGAAATCTGTTGCATCAGGGTTAATGATACTAAAAACTAGGTCACTGAGAATATGAAAAGCAAAATTAAATTTGAGCAAATTGGTTATAAAATGACTTCAAATTAATCTTATTTTACATGTTTCAGTAAATGCGAAGTTAAGACCTCTGTTTGGAATGTGAAAGAAAGTAAATAGCTTTACCCCCTACGTACATTTATAATATCTTGGGCCGTTGCTTGAAAAGGAAGACCCCTCAGGTGAACAAAGTGAGGCGAGGGGAAACTCCGAGATTCCAGCGAATCCCGAGGCCTTTCAAAGGCTTGCTTGAATAGTTCTGCAGAACGAAGGGGAGAATTGACATTTGCAAATCATTTCCATCTGCATCTTTCTGACATGCAGAAGACAAAGAGGTGAATCAGACACTTTAAACAATAACAATAACTTACCGTGTTCTTTATTGTTTTCATAAGCTGCAACGGGACTTAAGGCCTCATTCAAATCACCTTCATTAAAAAGGGAGTCGGAATCTTGCTTTGTGGTGGGAAAACCCATCATCTTCTTGCCCCGGAAAAAGCCATTGTGCGTTCGGATTTCACTTCTTTGGCTTGGAAATATTTCTATGTAGCTAATGTTTTAAAAAAAGGAGAAAACAGATTACTATTGATTACTGCAGCTCTTTTAACACACAAAAGTTCAAGTCAGAGATTATACTAAACTTTGAATAGATTATGAAGATTAAGTTTAGCTTTATGACTCATGGTAAGCAAGCAGCTAGAAAATGAGATTTTTAAAAATACTGGTACAATGTTTGGAAGGATCCAGATGCACTGTATGGTTATAGTTATTCTAAGTCCATTTCTAGCTCACTCTTAACACATTGCAAATTGGAGACACGAGTTTGTTCAAATTCCCACAATTTTTGACCACACTACAATATGAATCTTTAATTGTGGTCTAAATCGCAATCAAACCTTGATATGAAATTATGCTTTGTAACTGTACTCCAAACTAGATTTTGCCATCTGGAGACAATGCCAACCAGCTGCAAAAAAAGGGAGGAGAGAGTAAGCTGCCCAGAGTCCCTTTGTGGAGAGGGGGTAGGGTATAAATAAAGATTATTATTATTATTTGATACAGAACAAGATTACTATACAGCAAACAAGATCACTATGCTGGCTTTGTATTCACTCACATGTCGGACACTTCCCAAGCGTCTATGACTGTGTGATGTATCAGCGAATAATATGTGCGGATCCAAGTAGGATGGCCTTTTGCAGCTGACAGATGGTTTGCCAGCACCAATTGTGTTTAAGTGCAGGCCAAGGTCTTTCGGCACTACACCCAGTGTGCCTATCACCACTGGCACCACCTTTACTGGCTTGTGCCAGAGTCTTTGCAGTTCGATCTTTAAATCCTCACATTGTGTAAGCTTTTCCAATTGCTTCTCATCAATTCTGCTGTTGTCTGGGATTGCAACATTGATGACCCACACCCCCCCCCCACAATTGTGAGGTCAGCGAGTATTGTACTCCAAAACACTGTCAGTCTCAATTCAGAAGTCTCTGAGTAGTCTGACATATTCATTTTGTGTAACTTTTTCAGGCTTGTTATCCCACCACTTTTTTGTCGCAGGCAGATGGTATTTGTGACACAAGTTCCAGTGGATCTCAGCAACAGTATTATGCCTCTGCTTATAATCCGTCTGCACGATCTTCTTGCAACAGCTGAGTATGAGATCCATCGTTTCATCTGCATCCTTACAGAGTCTACATTTGGAATCTGTCATCGACTGTTCAATTTTGGCTTTGATGGCATTGGTCCTAATTGCTGCTTCTTATTGTTGTTGTTGTTGTTGTTGTTGTTGTTGTTATTGTTGTTGTTATTATTATTATTATTATGCAATCTCAAACATCTTTAATAGCAAATAATTTTTAGCATGGCGAGTGAAGTGATCCAGAATACTTTCTTTTCTTAATTTTTTTCTTATTTAATTTGAGATGTGTTTATAAGGCAAGCCAATACTGAGAAAATGAAAACTGAACCAGAGATTGGAACTGATGCAAATCCACCCGTTTATCTGAACTAGAAGAAGCCCATTTCTCAACTTCATAACACAACACTGACAGTGTGAATTCAAATAGCAATACTCCTATCTTCCAATGCCTTCCAATCTTGAGGAATCCCTAAAGAAGGCAGCATGTTGATCAGGAAGGATGTGACACAGGCCACAATGGAGGGGGGCTGTCCCAGAGCAGTGACCAGCTCCATTTCTGCTTATTTCATAATGACATCTTGATTACAAGTGCAAGTAATGCACCTATTATCCCTCCCTCATAGGTGCTCCACTTTCCAACATCCACATACCGGCTCCCAATCTCCTCCTTATGCTTCAGCAAGGCTTGGTTTGCCATCTCAGGACTAGCAAACTGCACAAAGGCTTCTCCTGTTTTCCTTCTCCCTCTCTGGTCCATGACAAATGTTATGTCAACTATAGACAAACCTGCAAAAAAACCCAACAAAGACTCTTTAATAGTGAAATCCTGGAAGTGGCATGTTTTTTACATATGATTTGTGCAAGGCAAAAATTTAAAAAATGCATATTCCAGAATTTAATATCATACCAAATATGCATTACATAGCGCACATCACTTCATTGCACATTCTTGGATGATGCATAACGACTCATTACTTCTTTCAATATGTCACTTGATGCAATCATGTTGTGAAAAGAGCAGAAACATTCCCAGGAAGGCAACTGGTTGCATCATGTTGTTATTCCATAGAAAGGTGGTGCAGCTCAACTATGTGAATGTAGATTTAGACTACAGAAGCAAAACGCAGGATTTTTCATCCTGTCTGTGTCAAAATAGCAACATTAAAGAATTCTCAGAAAATTCCTGGTTTCCTGTCGTAGTTAACTGTGAATCGCACATTGTGGTATTCCTGCGCCCGCGCAGGCCAGCTTCGGAACCTTCTAGAAAGTTTTAAAGAATTGTATCCCCCTCTGGGCTCCCCCTCCCCCTCCTCGAGTATATAAGGCCCCTGGGTGGAGCCAGCCTCCCAATCCTCTTTTTTCCGCCGGTTAGACAGATCAGCAAAGAACCTCTAGATTATCATTGGCTTTGACATGGACTGACTATTGGACTTCGCAAGGTACTCTAATCCCCCTCGACCCGGATCGTCGTTGGACTTCTCTTTTGTCGCTTCCCCGTTATTGGGCCTGCTTAGCACGATGGCTACTACTTCCTTCAAGAAGTGCACGGCCTGCCCGAACGTGCTTCCCGATACTGATGGGCATAGCCTATGCTTGGCTTGCTTGGGAGAGGGGCACCTCTCCCAGGCCTGTGCTGTGTGCGCGGCTTTTACGCCACAAACGCGCAAAAACAGAGAGCTCCGCTTGAAGGCGGCCTTGTATGAGAGGGCCCTCATGCCTCCTCTCCCCAGCCCTCAAACGACGGGAGAAAGGGCTATTTTGCCTAAGCCAACTAGGCCGGAGCCTGCAGGCCCCAAAAAGAAGGCAAAAAAGCAAGGGGATAAACCCCGCCAAGATGGCCGCCCGCATTCCTCTCAGGATAAGATCCCCGAGAAAAGAGCGGGAAAGTCTACAGCCGCCCTGCCATTGCCCTCACAGAGGAGCCCTCTACCAATGGCTGACCGTACTGTGCAGGAGATCCAACCTTCTCCCAGGCCTGCTCCGCCCTCGCCGGCATCGGCGCGATCTCCGGGCTCGATGCAATCCCCACCTACCTTGGTTCCAGTGACGAGGGAGCCAGAAGCAGCCGAGCGGTCCCTAGATGCGCTGCAGTCGACTGCCGGGATTGATCTGCTGAGCTCGGCCGAGCTCCACCTTCTCGAGCCTGAGATGCCTCTCTCCAGGGGGCGTGGCTTCCGGCTGGGAGCCACTCGGCCCCCCCGTCAGGAGGGCGGAGGAAGGGGCTGTGGCTTCAGCAGGAGTTCCCCCGACGCCGGCAAATGGGACCGAGTTCACGGTCCCTGTAGCGCCGGTATCGAGAGCGCATAAGGGGAAGCGCAGCACCAGCAAAAGGAGGAGATCGAGATCGCCTTCCCGCAGCAGCAAGAAGCGCGGCCACTCTCGACGTCGGCGAGCATCGAGGGCGGGATCTGGGGCAGCATCCCGCTCCTCTTCCTCCTCAGATGACTCTTCCTCCTCCTCCTCCTCCTCCAATTGTTCTGCCTCTACGAGGAGGAGCTCCAGGAGATCCCGTCGGGTCTCCCAGGGACCACAAACAAGGATGCCTCAATGGGGACCTTATGGCCCTGGTCCTTACCCATTTACAGGACCTTGGAACATGGGGCCTCCAGGCCATTTCTTCTATGCACAGCATGCGCCCCCCCCCCTTTGCCCCTTTTGCGAATATGGACGCAATTCAGGGCATACAGCAGAGGGGTTGTGGAACTGCGACCACAATTTCCCCCCCACACCATCTGCTTCTACATCAATGACTGTGCCTCTTACAAGGGGACAGGGACAATTGAATTCCACTCAAGTTGCTTGCACTGAGCAAGCCTCTGTTGGTGTTGATCAAAGCGTATGTGTGGGACGTTCTTTATGTGTTGATGTATCCAATTGTGAAACTGCAAATCCTGTAATTACTACCCCTCCTATACCACCAGACACCCCTCTGGTGAGCCAAGAGGTAGCCTTATCATCGGGTGACCAGGCGGCCCTGGAATTAGAGGATTCTGATTCCTCCGCGGAGCAATGCGATTCTCCTCAGGCTGGAGGGTCAACCGACGCCGCTCCATTGCCACCACACTTCAACAAGTTTACTTCCCTAATAGATAGGATGATCAAGGCCCTCGACATACCAGCCCCAAGGGCACAGGAGCATGTCAAGGACCCAATGTTCCCTTCAGAGGAGCAGGCCGTACCGGTGTCCACGTCACTCCCAATGCTTCCGTATCTCCTGAAACTAGCAAAAATTCTGGAGGCCTCCCCGGCTAGTGTACCGGCCACGTCTAAGAAGGTCGACTCCTTATATAGGATCGACCTCATGGCTGCAAAATGGGTCACCAACCCTCCAAGGCCAAATACAGTAGTGGCCGAAGTAGTGAAGTCAAAGAAGCCTAAGGGTACCCTATCAGCCCCCCCCCTGATAAGGAGGGCAGGAAGGTAGACCTCCTGGGTAAGAAAGCCCACTTAGCCGCAGGTTTGGTTACTAGGATGGCCCACTATGCCACTTACATGAGTGGGTACCAAACCTTCCTGTGGACAAAAATACTCCCCTATTTGGACAAGCTCCCACCCGAAGAACAACGCTTTCCAAAAGCTCTACAAGCGGAGGCCCTATTGCTATCAAAAGTCCAAAAGGACTTCGCAAAGCACCTTGCAGAGTCGGCGGGCCACTTATTTGCCACAGCAACCTCTATTCGGAGGCATGCGTGGCTACGCTCTGCCAATTTATCTGAGGAGGGCAAAGCCCTAGCAGAGGACCTTCCTCTACACGAGGAAGGCCTCTTCAATCCCGAGACAGACGCAACTCTGAAAGAAAAACAGGAGGTGCGGCAAGCTGCTGGTAAGTTCGGTTATACTTGGCAGCCGTACAACCAGAGTCGCCCTAGATGGCAGGCACCCCCCAATCAGTTCCGCAAGAACTTCAATAACTCGTTCTCAGGATCAGGTAGAGGTAGGGGCCCTTCATCCCCTAGGTTCCAGAACAACAAAAGAAATTCCTATTCATCAAAATCTAGATATCAACCTTACCAGGCTAGATCCAAAAACCATGGTGCCTCCAGGAAGCGCCTTTGACGCTTCCATTGCAACGGCGTTGGCGGAGCCAGATGAGACGCCCAGTTCTTCATGTGTTTCTTCCCAGTTGCCAGTTTCCCTTAACCCCGAGGTTATGCCTAGTTGTCATACCCCCAACACATATCCCAATTTTATTAACAGGTTGCAAGGTTTTTACAACAGTTGGGTTAACATCACTACGGACAAATGGGTACTGGCAATCGTCCAAAAAGGGTACGCCATTGAATTTGAGAACATTCCTCAGGTGGGAAAAGTTAGGAGCACTGCTCCCTCTGAGACTTTACTTTGCGAGATTGACACCCTTTTACAGAAGGGTGCTATTTCCCCAGTTCCGATTTCAATGATGTCCACATGTTTTTTCTCGAGATACTTTGTTGTGACCAAACGCGGTGGCGGCTTTAGAGCCATTATGGATTTGAGAGAGTTGAATAAAGCTATCTTGCCGAAGAAATTTCGTATGGTGACGCTTTCTTCAATCATGCCCCTTATACCAGAGGGTGCATGGTTCGCTACCATAGACCTACGAGATGCTTACTTCCATATATCAATAGTGCCTCACCACCGTAGATTCTTGACATTCATGGTGGGCAGCAAGGCTTTCCAGTACAACGTCCTTCCATTTGGGCTCAGTACTGCCCCAAGGGTGTTCACAAAGTGTATGGCGGTGGTGGTAGCACACTTACGAACACAGGGAATTGTCGTTTACCCATACATTGATGACTGGCTGATTATCGGGAAGTCAGCATCTCAATTACAAAAACATGTGCATGTTACTTTATGTCTCCTCCAGTCCCTGGGCCTGATCGTCAACGCGGAGAAATCCTCGCTGGAACCATCCCGGGGCATCCTGTTTATCGGAGCATTCCTTGATGCGGTGACGCGCAGGGCTTACCTCCCAGCGGAACGTTTTTCCAATTTGCAGACACAGGTGACTTCGGCACTGAGATCGACCAGAGTGTCAGCCAAGCAGGTCCAGACACTCTTGGGGTATATGGCCTCCACTACCTCAGTAACCCCGTTTGCACGGTTGCGTATGCGCCCCCTCCAATCCTGGTTCGGGTCGGTCTTCAATCCCCTCAGGGATTGTCCACGGCTCAAGTTTATTCTACCGGAGGAGGTCCATATATCCCTGGTATGGTGGCTGCAGCCCCAGTTTGTCTGCTCGGGCCTTCCTTTTCAGCTGCCGTATCCCACCAGAATTGTTACGACAGATTCGTCCCTATCGGGGTGGGGTGCCCATTCGCAGGGCCTGATCGCACACGGCAAATGGTCTCCAGATGAGGCACTCCTTCACATAAATGTTCTGGAGCTCCTAGCCGTAGAAAGAGCGCTAAAGTCGTTCGAAAGGCTCGTTCTAGGGCAAGTCGTTCAGATCCTGACAGACAATACAACTGTCATGTTCTATCTGAACAAGCAGGGGGGCACCCATTCTCTTCCACTACTACAACTAACATTGCGCATTTGGGAATGGTGCATCCAGAGACAAATTTACTTACACGCCACTCACCTCCCAGGGCAAGAAAACTCGCTGGCAGACGCCCTCAGCAGAAACCCACTGGGCCACCACGACTGGGCTCTTCATCCCCTAGAGACGGCCAAGCTTTTTCGCCTTTGGGGATACCCGTTAATCGATCTCTTTGCCACATGGGAGAACAAGAAGTGCGAGATATTCTGCTCGAGGCTCCCGATCCCCAGAGAGCAGGGCTGTTTGGGGGATGCATTCCTCAGAGAATGGGGAGGGGGTCTAGCGTATGCGTTTCCTCCCTTCCCTCTTCTTCTAAGAGTAGTAGCGAAACTACAAAGGGACAATGCCTATTGCATTCTGATCACACCATGGTGGCCTCGACAACCGTGGTTCGCCCCTCTGTTACAGTTATCGAAGGGGAACCATGTGAGACTAGGAAGGAGAGTCAACCTTCTGTCGTCTCAGGAGGGTCAGGTGTTGTATCCAGACATCCATCTTCTGAAACTGACAGCGTGGTTAATTCTGCCCCAGGGGCAGATGTGACCGCGAGTCTCACTCAAAGTGTAAGGCGTATTATCGAGGCGGCACATAGGCCCTCTACAAAACGATCATACTTGTTTAAGTGGGCACGGTTTAGAGATTTCTCGAGGGCAAGTAATCAAGAGCCTGAAACCGCTCCTATTTCCACGGTACTAGACTTTTTATCAATGCTCTTTGAAGCAGGACTCTCTAACTCTTCTCTTAAATGCTACCTCGCTGCCATCTCATGGTTCAGAAGGAAGGTGGGATTGCCGTCTTGCTTTGCGGACCCATTGGTCAAATGTTTTTTGAGGGGCCTAGGAAATGTTAGACCRCCTGTGGCCCCTATRGCCCCGTCCTGGAGCTTAGAGCTGGTACTTTCGGCTCTGATGAAYCCTCCTTTCGAAKCTATGGCCACGGCAGAATTGGGTCCTCTGACTTGGAAGGTGGTCTTTCTAGTAGCTGTTACATCTGCTAGAAGGGCTAGTGAACTTTGTGCACTCAGAGTAGACCCTCCTTACCTGAAATTTCACAGGGATAAGGTGGTACTTCGTACTGATATTGCCTTTTTGCCTAAGGTAGCCACGAGGTTTCACATGTCTCAGGAGTTGGTTCTGCCGGCATTCTTTCAGAACCCGGAGACTCCTCTGGAAAAGGGGTTGCATTCTTTGGATGTGAGAAGGGCTTTAGCCTTTTACTTACAAAGGACAGCTGATTTTAGACAATCCCCTAGATTGTTTGTTAAGTATCGGAAAGATACCAGGGGCCTACCAGTTTCTTCTCAGCGCTTGTCTGCATGGATAGTCTCTGCTATTCGTACCTCCTACAAGTTAGCAGGTAAAGACCTGCCTCGGCAGGTTAGGGGTCATTCGACGAGGGCTGTAGCAGCCTCTACGGCGTTCATGAAGGGCATCCCTCTGGAGACAATTTGTAGGGCTGCCATATGGGCTTCTCCCTCTACCTTGTTTCCCATTATAAGTTGGACTGTGTGTCGAGAGGAGAGGCGAAATTTGGTAGAGCGGTGCTGTTTTCGGCAGTGGCATGATCCCACCAGCCATTACATAGCTCGCTAGTCTACCACAATATGCGATTCACAGTTAACTACGACAGGAAATGGAAGGTTGCTTACCTGTAACCGTGGTTTCCTGAGTAGTTACCTGTGAATTCGCACATACCCTCCCTTCCTCCCCTCAAGTGTCATGCCACTTCCTCTGACTGCATTTGCGGCTGAAGAGGATTGGGAGGCTGGCTCCACCCAGGGGCCTTATATACTCGAGGAGGGGGAGGTGGAGCCCAGAGGGGGATACAATTCTTTAAAACTTTCTAGAAGGTTCCGAAGCTGGCCTGCGCGGGCGCAGGAATACCACAATGTGCGAATTCACAGGTAACTACTCAGGAAACCACGGTTACAGGTAAGCAACCTTCCATGTTCTTCAGACATCTTTGACTACAATTTTTATGGACTATCAGAAGATAATATAAGCCAGTTTAATTTTTGGAATCATTCTGAGAATGAGAATGGAGTGTATCTGCAGGAACAAAACCATTAATATTTTACACAATGCACAAGTGTTGACTGATTATTTCTCCACGCTTCATTAGAAACAACTATTCTTAGGTTTTTGCTTTCAGGTCATAAATATGTTCCTGCATTGTTTCCAGTGAGCTGAACTTTTCCTGCCTACTGAAGAAATCAAATTTAACTTTCATATCCTTAACAGAGAAATAGTCAGTGATATTATTCAACATATTTGTTTGTGTCCCAATTCTAATTTGTCTTTTTGGGACAGTTTTTACCACAGCACATACGCACAGATATCCTCTCCTTCACTCTTTGCTTACAATCACTGTCTTGACACAATTACTATTCCATACAGGACTCACCTGAGAAGAATTCAGAAATATCCACTTCAGTACAACTATAGGGAAGGCCTCTCAACCGCACCACTCCATCGTTGGTCACAGACGTTGAGCTGGACTGCAGATTCTTCATGATAGAATCAACATCCTCATTATGTATTTCAAAAACTATAAAGAAATCCCATAAGACAGATGGAAAATTTAAATCTCTTTAAACATTATCAGAAGAATTCTAAGAAATATCTAAGTCAATCAATCAATCAAATCATGTATTTCGGTCATTGACCAGCACAATATCTAAGTCTTCACACTGCTATTTCTCTCCTTCTCTACTCTCTTAATTTCTTGCTTACCTTTCTCCACTGAGCAAAGGAAAAGAGATGCTTTCCTCCAACTGTGGCGTTGGAGGAAAATTCTGAGAGTGCCTTGGACTGCAAGAAGAGACAACCAGTCCATTCTCCAGGAAGCAAAGCCTGACTGCCCACTGGAGGGAAGGATATTAGGAGCAAAGATGAAGTATTTTGGCCACATGAGAAGACAGGAAAGCTTGAAGAAGATAATGACGCTGGGGAGAATGGAAGGAAAAAGGAAGAGGCGCCAACCAAGAGCAAGGTGGATGGATGGTATCCTTGAAATGACTGGCTTGACCTGTTTTATATTGTTGATTTTGTTATTTTATATTTTGTTATGATGTATTTTGTTGCTGTGTATTTATTATGTTGTATTATTTTGGGCTTGGCCTCATGTTAGCCGCACTGAGTCCCCTTTGGGGAGATGGTAGCGGATTATAAATAAAGTGTATTATATTATTATTATTATCATTATCATGATTATTATTATTAAGGAGCTGGGGGTGGCCATGGTTGACAGGGAGCTCTGGCATGTGCTGGTCCATGAGGTCATGAAGAATCATAAACGACTGAATGAATAAACAACAACAACAACAACAACAGGGTTCTAATGTTGTTTTCATGCATGTTGTTTTTTCTGGGATTATTGTGTATTTTTTGTTCTATGGTGGCATTGAATGTTTGCCTTTGTATGTTGGAATCTGCCCGAAGTCCCTTTGGGGAGATAGGGTAGAATAGAAAAGTTTTTTAAAAATTATTATTATTAATGGGAAGAATTGTGCAAAGCAGTCTTATTTTTGTCTCTATGGAAAGTTAGCAAAGTCTGCCACCTGACCTGGTACTACAGGCAATGGCCAAATTGTAATTAAATATTTCCTGCATGGCAGAGGGTTGGACTAGATGGCCCATGTGGTCTCTTCCAACTCTATTATTCTATGAGTCCACTGAATTACTGGAATTCGCCACATAATAGTCATCACAGTCAAAAACCAGAGAATCAAAAGCAGATTTTTTTCATTGCTTAATAGTCGCAGCCCCCCTTTTTCAACACAATGTGCAACTATTATGTGACGAAATATTGTAATATGGATTAGTCTATTATAAAAGCAAACAAAAATACATGACAGTGTACAGTACAAAGTTCCCTTACTATCCATGGTAGGTTTCAGATGACTAGGTTTCATGATAGACAAGACAGATTCCCTTTTATTAGGTTGTAATAAATCAAAAAGCTTCTGTAACGCCAGGCTAAAAGTAATCACATACCTTCCACGTAGCGCTGCCCCAAATATCTCCGGTGTTTCTCCAAGGCATTATGCACATCCTGCTCTGACTCCAGTTCGATCAGAGCATCTCCTCTCCGCTTGCCATCTCGGTTTAAGAGGAAGTGTATGCCGTTCACACCATTTCGGATTTTGCTGCCTAGAAAGTTATCAGACATAAAGGTAAAGGAAGATTAGACACTTTCAGGCTGATTAATTTACAATAGGAAATTTTGATGTTTCATAGTGTTTTGTTTCAGCCATAGACAAGCCATAGTTTGTTGTACCCCGAATTATTCCTCATCCAAAATTAGCTTGACTTTCTAATGGCTTGTACAGATGCTAGTCATCAGAGGATATTCTCCTCGGTGCCTAAGATAAGTGATGATTCAGAATATGATCTTTGGTGCTATAGCATCTCTTGTCTATGATATTTAAAAAACAACAACAAACAAAAACTCTTTTGAAAATTTAATTTATTCTAAACACGTGTCCCAGCAAGGTAGATTTGATTTTCTTCTGTTTTCTCTTCTACTTCACCTGTTACGGCTTTGATGCAGTAAGTGAGTACCTTATATACTTAAGCATAAGCCAAGTTTTTCAGCCCTTTTTTAAGGCTGAAAAAGCCCCCCATGGTTTAATCTTGAGTCAAAGTTATTTATTATTTTACCCTAATATTATTATTACATTTATTATTTTACTCAATTAATTATTATTATTACATTTACATTCCGCACTTCCGCCCTTCGCATACAAAAACTCTTCCTTATTATATACTAGCTTGGGGACCCGGCGTTGCCCGGGTTATTAGAGAAAGTGGGTAATGGCGGTTCTGTATGCCAAGTTTGGTCTTTATTGGTTTTGGATAATGGCAGCATTATTTTCAGGAAGTGAGTGAAGGTACTTGAAGTCCCATCATCCATGGGCCATCCTCCTACAAACAGCAGCAGGATATAGAGTGGGTCATGGGGGCTCTGTGTGCCAAGTTAGGTCTTTATCAGTCATTAGATGAGGGTGGCAGTGGTGTCAGTAAGTGAGTGAAGGTACTGCAAGTCCCATCATCCAAAGTCCATCCCCTTTCAAACTGCAGCAGGATGTAGAGTGGATCATGGGGGCTCTGTGTGCCAAGTGTGGTCTTGATTGGTCATTAGAAGAGGGTTGCAGCAATCTTTGGAAGGGAGTGGAGGTACTTGAAGTCCCATCATCCATGGTCTGTCCTCCTCAAACTGCAGCAGGATGTAGAGTGGGTCATTGGAGCTCCATGTGCCAAGTTTAGTCTTGATTAGTCATTGGCGAGGGTCTCAGTGGTCTCAGGAAGTGAGCAAAGGTACTGCAAGTCCCATCATCCATCTCCAAATTTTTCCAAACAACACCAGGACGTAAAGTGGGTCATGAGAGGTCTATGTGCCAAGTTTGGTCTTGATCCGTCATTGGATGAGGTTTGCAGAGGTCTCAGAATGTGAGTGAAGGTACTGGAAGTTCCATCATCCATGGTCCACCCTTCTCCAAAACTGCAGCAGGATGTAGATTGGGTCATGTGGGCTCTGCGTGCCAAGTTTGGTTTTGATTGGTCATTAGATGGGTTTTGCAGCAGTCTTGGGTAGTGAAGGTACTTGAAGTCCTATCATCCATGGTCTGTCGTCCTCCAAACTGCTCCAGGATGTAGAGTGGGTCATTGAAGCTCCATGTGCCAAGTTTAGTCTTGATGAGTCATTGGCGTGGGTCTCAGTGGTCTCAGGAAGTGAGTGAAGTGACTGCAAGTCCCATCATCCATTGTCAAATTCTTCCAAACCGCACCAGGATGTAGAGTGAGTTATGCGGACTCTCTGTGTAAATTGTGGTCCTGATCCATCATTGTTGGCAGTTATAATGGTCTTAGGAAGGGAGTGCAGGTATTGCAAGTCCCATCGTCCATGGTGCATCCTCCTTCAAACTGCACCTGGATGTAGAGTGCGTCATGGAGATTCAGTGTGCCAAGTTTGGTATTTTTTGGTAATTGGATGAGGGTTGCAGTGGTCTGAAGAATGAGCAATGGTACTGCAAGTCCCATAATCCACGGTCCATCCCCAGCCAAACCACACCAGGACGTAAAGTGGGTCCTGAGAGGTCTCTGTGCGAAGTTTGGTCCTGATCAGTCATTGGATAAGGTTGAGAGCGGTCTCAGAATGTGAGTGGTGGTACTGCAAGTCCCATCATCCATGGTTCATAGTCCTCCAAACTGCAGTAGGATGTAGAGTGGGTGATGGGGGCTCTGTGTGCCTATTTCGATCTGTATAGGGAGTGTTCTGACCCAGGCCCCGGCCTTTCCTTTCCTCTCTTTCTCATCTCGGAATGTTGGATTTGAGGCTGGCCAATCAGAGACCATATGCAAATTTCCTTCTGTCATGCCCCGTTTCTGCCATGAACCCTCTTCTCCACCAGGGGCTCCTATTGAAGCTGGCCAATCAGAGACCATATGCAAATAGCACCACAGCGGCAGCCAATCAGAACGCTGCCACATACACCGCCCTCCCTCCACAATTCCTCTGTCCGATACAAACACTCTTCTTTATTATATATATAGATAGATATAGATATAGATATAGATTATTACATTTATTTTTTCTCTATTATTGCTATTACATTTATTATTTTACTCTATTATTATTGCAAGAATATGTAAGTACATTTACACTGAAGGTTATAATAGTGGTTTAATCAGAGTTGGACAGTCTTATCTTAAATTGCAGTTTTAGGTCATTTAACCTACTGTTGTCTCAATTAATGCAATTTTATTAGTATCTATTTTTATTTTGAAATTTACCAGTAGCTGCTGCATTTCCCACCTTCAGCTTATACTTGAGTCAATACATTTTCCTAGTTTTTGTAGTAAAATTAGGTGCCGCAGCCAGGGACGGCTCAACCCATTACGCAAAGTAAGCATTCGCAGTATAGTTGATTTTGCCCAGAGGTGCTCTTGAGGCGCTCTTGGGGGAAACAGACCTTGACGTATGCGAGTTGTAGTTACTGGGATGTATAGTTCACCTACAATCAAAGAGTATTCTGAACTCCACCAATGATGGAATTGAACCAAATATGGCACACAGAACTCCCACGACGAACAGAAAATATATATCAGTGATTGGTTGGGGGGGGACGGACGATGCCAAAATACTGTTTGTGTACCATTGAAAATTACCTCTGGTCGCGGCTTATATTCGGGTCAGCTTATACTCAAGTATACATGGGTTTATATTTCTCTATGGGTTTATTTTCTGTTATCAGTATGCCATTTTTCTTGGTAAACAATTCCTGAATATCATTAAACAAACAATCTTTCTATAAAATTTTCCATGTAAAATGTGAAAAATGTTCTATGTAAAAGTGGAAATGAACAGGAAAAAACATACATGCAGATCAGAATACAGAACCATGTATTTTTGTCACACACACTGAAAAAACACATAGAATCTTGGTAAAGTCCATTCAGCCACACAGCCGAGAAGTGAGGGCACACTTCCCTTTTGAAGATGCCATCTGCATCAAGATGGAAGTTGTCATTTGCATCTCCTCCCTCCCTGTTACGATCTTGATCAGAGCCCTGCAGCTAAAGAGAAAAATAACCCCACACAGGACAGGAAACCTTGTGTTTTAACATCCTACGGAATTTGATCTTTAGGCATCCCACCATCTGGGTCAGTCGGGAGTAAAGTTACCTGCAAAGAAGTTGAGAACGTCTTCCTCAGTGCAGGAATAAGGCAGGCCTTGGGCTCGGATAAGATACACATCCTCTTCCTCCTCGCCTGACTTGGCAGGATGCGGCTCGTATTCCGAGAGGGGAGGGTACTCTTCTTGAAAGGGAGTACTGTGGTCCTTCAAAGGGAAAAGTGTTTGTTTCAATGTCGTGATTGTAAGTAAACACACCGTGCAGGATGTGAATGACAGACTGGTATAATGAGGATAAGTCAGTCAGTCAGTCAGTAGCCTTTATTTCGGTCAACAAACCATCGGCTAAGTATAATGAGGATAAGCAGCTGGTGGATATTGAAGGGCACAACCAGGAAAACTAAAAGTACATCTAGGGAAGCCGTTCCACTAGAAATGTAGATGTCAGTTTGCCATATCGCAAGGGATATCCCAGCACTGACACCTCAAGACGATAAGAAAAGGGATAGAGTGAGAAATATAGGCTATAGCAGTGATTCCCAAACACTAGTCCTCCATGTGTTTTGGACTTCAACTCCCAGAAGCCTCAGCTGCCTTGGCCAATGATTCTGGGAGCTGCGATCCTAAACACCTGGAAGACCAGGAATAGTAAAAATAACACATAATAATTCCCCCCGTGGTAAGGGAATAATAATAATAATAATAATAATAATAATAATAATAATAATAATGAATTTTCCCATGCTAAGAGAAGAGGAATACTAGGTTCTTGTGGGTTTTTTCGGGCTATATGGACATGGTCTAGAGGCATTCTCTCCTGACGTTTCGCCTGCATCTATGGCACGCATCCTCAGAGGTAGTGAGGTCATTACCTGTGAGGATGCCTGCAATAGATGCAGGCGAAACGTCAGGAGAGAATGCCTCGAGAACATGGCCATATAGCCCGAAAAAACCCACAAGAACCTAGTGATTCCAGCCATGAAAGCCTTCGACAATACAGAAGAGGAATAGTAAAAATAACATATAATAATTCCCCCTGTGGTAAGGGAAGAGGAATAATAATAATAATAATAATGAATTTTCCCATGTTAACAGAAGAGGAATAGTAAAAATAACACATAATAATTCCCCCTGTGGTAAGGGAAGAGGAATAATAATAATAATAATAATAATAATAATAATAATAATAATAATGTATTTTACCATGCTAAGGGAATAGGAATAGTAAAAATAATACATAATAATTCCCCCTGTGGTAAGAGAATAATAATAATAATAATAATAATATACTAAGGCAATTATTATTAGTAGTAGTAATATTATACATAATAATACTAATAATAATTCCTACCCAGGGTGAGAAAAGAGGAATAATAATAAAGGTAGGGGAAAGATTATTATTGTAATAATAACAGTATAAATAATAACAACAATAATAATGAATTCCTCCCATGCTAAGAGAAGAGGAATAGTAAAAATAACACATAGTAATTCCCCCTGCGGTAAGGGAAGAGGAATAATAATGATAACAACAATAATAATGAATTCCTCTCATGCTAAGAGAAGAGGAATAGTAAAAATAGCATAATAATTCCCCCTGTGGTAAGGGAATAATAATAATAATAATAATATACTAAGGCAATTATTATTAGTAGTAGTAATATTATACATAATAATACTAATAATAATTCCTACCCAGGGTGAGAGAAGAGAAATAATAATAAAGCTAGGGGAAAGATAATAATAATAACAATAATAATGAATTTTCCCATGCTAAGAGAAGAGGAATAGTAAAAATAACACATAATAATTCCCCCTGTGGTAAAGGAAGAGGAATAATAATAATAATAATGAATTTTCCCATGCTAAGAGAAGAGAAATAGTCAAAATAAAATAAAATATAATAATAATAATAATAATAATAAAATTCCTTCCATGCTAAGGGAAGTATACTCCTACTACAATGAATAATAGTATAATAATAATAATAATAATGCTTCTTCCTCCCATGCTAAGGGAAGAGGAATGGTGCTGATTATCAGAAACAAGACCTAACATGCATTGCTCTCTTAAGAGGAGCCAGGGATGGTGTTTGAGGCCTGCTGGGCGTCCCACCTGCGCGAAGCCCGTCCTGGCGTGGAGGGCCAGGGCCGGGGCCAGGAGGGGGCGTCCGGGCAAGGCGCTGAGGCCCGGCACCGGCCCGGCGGAGCGGGAGAGCCCTCGGCTCTGCGTCGCTGCTGCTGCTGCGGCTGCCGCGCCCAGACAGCGCAGGAGGCGGCAGGAGGAGGAGATGGAGGAGGAGAGGCCTAGCGAGGCCGAGGCGGCGCCGGTCTGGCGGAGCAGCGCGCCCAGCACCCAGCGCGCCCCGGCGGCCATGGGAGGCGGAGGAGGCCGAGGAGGAAGCCCGCTCCACGCCCAGGGGGAGACCTGCGGCCTAGTGCGCAGCCAAGGAGGAGGAGGAGGAGGAGCCAAAGGAGGGGCCGGGGCCGGCATCCCAAGCGCCGCTGAGGGAACCCTCCAATTGGCACAGGGCCCTCTGCAGCTGCCATGGCGACGCCCCGAGGGATGACGGGATTTGCAGTTTGGCCAGGGGACCTTCAGAACGCTCAGCGAGGCGGTGCTTAGGCCTCGCGGGACTACGACTCCCAGAGTCCCACAGGGGGCGAAGTGGAATATAGAGCTATACCAATGCTTGGCTTATGCCAGCCAATGAGGAAAACACAAGAATGGTCACAGATTGGAAAACATGAAGTTATTATTATTATTATTATTATTATTATTAGTAGTAGTAGTAGTAGTAGTAGTAGTAGTAAAATCAAGTTATTATTGTTATTAAAACACAAGAATGGTCACAGATTTGGAAATAATCAAGTTATTATTATTATTATTATTATTAAAACACAAGAATGGTCACAGACTGGAAAAATCAAGTTATTATTTTCATTATTACTTGTAAAATCAAATTATTATTATTATGAAAACACAAGAATGGTCACAGATTTGGAAAAAAAATCAAGTTATTTTTATTATTATTATTATTACACAAGAATGGTCACAGACTGGAAAAATTGAGTTATTATTTTCATTATTACTTGTAAAATCAAGTAATTATTATTATTAAAACACAAGAATGTTCACAGATTGGGAAAAAAATCAAGTTATTGTTATTATTATTTGTAAAATCAAGTTGTTATTATTATTATTTGTATGCAGAACACATCATGGAACGTGCAGGTTGGAGTTAAAATTGCTGGACGAAACATTAACAACCTTAGATATGCAGATGATACCACTTTGATGGCTGAAAGCAAGGAAGGGTTGAGGAGCCTTCTAACCAAGGTGAAAAAAAAATGCAAAATTTGGGAAGCAGTTAAACATAAAATAATAATAATAAATAATAAACTTTATTTATACCCCGCCACCATCTCCCCAATGGGGACTTACATGAGGCCTTACATGAGGCCAAGCCCAAACAACAAATTACAATAAAATAAAACCGAAAATGCAAACAATAAACAACAACAGTTTTATCAAGATTGGTCCTTGCTCTCCTCCCAAGAAGTAAGTGTCTTCTGATTTCCTGGCTGCACTCTGCGTCTGCAGTCATCTTTGCACCTAGAAATATGAAGTCTGTCACTGCCTCCACGTTTTCTCCTTTATTTGCCAGTTATCAATCAGTCTGGTTGCCATAATCTTGGGGTTTTTTTATGTTTAGCTGCAACCCGGCTTTTGCGCTTTCTTCTTTCACCTTGATTAGAAGGCTCCTCAGCTCCTCCTCGCTTTCGGCCATCAGAGTGGTGTCATCTGCATATCTGAGGTTGTTAATGTTTCTTCCAGCAATTTTCACCCCAGCCTTGCATTCATCAAGCCCCGCACATCGCACGATGTGTTCTGCATACAAGTTAAAAAGGTCGGGTGAGAGGATGCAGCCTTGCCGTACGCCTTTCCCAATCTTGAACCAGTCTGTTGTTCCGTGGTCAGTTCTGACTGTTGCTACTTGGTCCTTGTACAGATTCCTCAGGAGAGAGACAAGGTGGCTTGGGATGCCCATCCCACCAAGAACTTGCCACAATTTATTATGGTCCACACAGTCAAAGGCTTTAGAATAGTCAATGAAGCAGAAGTAGATGTTTTTCTGAAACTCCCTGCCTTTCTCCATTATCCAGCGGATATTGGCAATCTGGTCTCTCGTTCCTCTGCCTTTTCTAAACCCAGCTTGTACATCTGGCAACTCTCGCTCCATGTATTGCTGGAGTCTTCCTTGCAGGATCTTGAGCATTACCTTACTGTCATGAGAAATAAGGGCCAGTGAAAGTTTGAGCATTTTTTAGCATTTTCCTTTTTTGGTATGGGGATATAAGTTGATTTTTTTTCCAGTCTGGTGGCCATTCTTGTGTTTTCCATCTTTGCTGGCATATGGCATGCATCACCTTTCAAGATTTTAAACAATTCAGTTGGGATCCCGTCGTCTCCTGCTGCCTTGTTATTAGCGATGCTTCTTAATGCCCATTCAACCACACTCCTAGTGATAGTGGTAGGCTATTCTTTATTTATTTACTACTACATTTATATACTGCCTTTCACAGCCCAGAGGCGACTCAGGGCAGTTCACATTCGGCAGCAATTCGATGCCTCCACAATTATAAAATACAATTAAAACAGATATAAATACATTTAAAACATTTAGCACGTATTATAAAACCATACACAGTCATAAAAACATAATCATCAGCGTCTCCTTACAAAAATCGTTATCCAGTTGCATCGCCAAGTCATTCCGTAATATCATCTTTGCCTGAGTATGTTGCATTAGCAAAAGCTTGCTTGAAGAGCCAGGTTTCAAGTTTTTTTTTACGGAATGTCAGAAGGGAGGGGCCAATCTTATATCCATGGGAAGGGCATTCCACAGCTGAGGGGCCACTGCAGAGAAGGCCCTGTCTCTCGATCCTGCCCAATGCATCTGTGAAGAAGCCAGGATCAAGAGTAGGGCCTCCCCAGATGATCTTAAGCCTATAATGGTTCATAAGGAGAGATACATTCGGACAGGTAAGCTGGGCCGGAACCATTTAGGGCAGGGGTAGGGAACCTTTGGCCCTCCAGCTGTGGTGGACTTCAACTCCCACAATTCCTTGAGGCTCGGCATTGGGCCAAGGTAAGCCTTTGGGGCGAATGCCGAGCCTCAAGGAATTGTGGGAGTTGAAGTCCACCACAGCTGGAGGGCCAAAGGTTCCCTACCCCTGATTTAGGGTTTTATAGGTTAAAGCCAGCACTTTGAATTGTGCCCAGTAGCAAACTGGCAGCCAGTGGAGCTGGCACAACAGAGGAGTTGTGTGCTTCCTGGGCGCTGCTCCTGATAGCAACCTGGCTGCCGCACACTGGACCATTTGAAGCTTCCAAGCAGTCTTCAAAGGCAACCCCACGTAGAGAGCGTTGCAGTAGTCTATATGGGATGTAACCAGAGCATGGACTACCGTGGCCAAGTCAGACTTCCCAAGGCATGGGCGCAGCTGGCACACAAGTTTTAACTGTGCAAATGTTCTCCTAGTCACCGCCGAGACCTGGGGTTCCAGGCTCCGCGATGAATCCAGGATCACACCCAAGCTGCAAACCTTCAGGGGGAGTCTAACCCCATCCACCACAGGCTGTAACCCTATGCCCTGTTCAGCTTTGCGACTGACCAGGAGGACCTCTGTCTTGTCTGAGTTCAATTTCAATTTGTTTGACCCCATCCAAACCATCACAGCAGCCAAGCACTGGTTCAGGACCTGAACAGCCTCCTTAGCAGCAGGTGGGAAGGAATGACAGAGTTGGAAGCCATCTGTATACAGGTGACACCGTACCCCGAAACTCTGGATGATCACCTGCAGCGGCTTCATGGAGATGTTAAACAACATGGGAGACAATATTGAGCCCCAAGGAACCACACAAGACAATGGTTGTGGGGTTGAACAGATGTCTCCCAGTAACACCTTCTGGGAATGAGGCCCTGCTCTCGATCCCGCCTGCATCACAGGCGCGCCTGGCGGGGACGAGAGACAGGGCCATCTCGGTGGTGGCCCCTCGGCTGTGGAATGCCCTACCTGTAGACATCAGACAGGCCCCTTCACTGTTGAAGTTCCGGAGGAAGGTGAAGACCTGGCTCTTTGGACAAGCGTTTGGCTAAATCAGTGCAATTGATTATAGGAATACGGTGCAATCAAACATAGGAACATGGAACAAGGATTATGAGAATGGTTCTGATTTGGTGCTGAGGCGTTATGATAATGATTGTTTATTGATATTGACTGTTATGTATAATGTGTTTTAATTGCCTATGACACTGTCTTGTGATTTGTACTATGTAAAGCGCTTTGAGTCACCTACGGGCTGAGAAAAGTGGTATAGAAATAAAGTAAATAAATAAATAAATAATAAATTGATGAAACTGATCACATGAATGTAAACATGTTGTTCTGAATTACGAAGAGTAAATGACTTGTTCTTTATTGATAATCTGCGTGGCATATTTTCTTTCTCTGGCAAGGCAGAGTGGGCTGATGAAACGTTAACTACACATGGTTTAATTTACATTACGCCACAAAAACTACATTAATTTACAGTGTAGACACACCCTTAGACTGTAAACCTAGACATTAATCTTCATTGGCTATGTTGTGTAGGGCTAATCTGATTTACAGTCCAAGAAATCAATTCCCATACCCATTAAATAAATAATAATAATAGCAATAATGTTTCAGATGCTATTTTTTCTTTCTCTTAAAAGAGACTCAAAGCAGCTAACGACACTAAAACAATACAGGTTAGGTGGCTTGAGCCTGGATTTTATTTTATTTCCACTCCGAGTCCTTAATCACTTTTGTCAACCTTTCTAATTTTGCTCCTCCGCGTTTCATCTGAATTCATTATGTTTAATTATATTGCAACAGAAGCCACTCTGAAGTTCTGCCGAAGGGCAGTATGTGAATCTTTTATATAAATACATTATGGGAATGAAGACACAGTCTGGCACTACTTTAACTGACATGGCTCAAGTGCCATGGAGTGTTTCACAATTTCTTTAGTCTTCCTCTGTCAAAGAGTTCTGGTGCCTCTCCAAACGAAAGATCCCAGGATTCCAGAGCATTGAGCCATGGCATCAGTCTGCATTAATTCAACAGTATAGAGCCAGCCCCTTGAATATGTACTATATCTGTAAATGTACATTTTAACTATATTTGGTTAATGTAGAGCTCTTTCACACAGCCATATAACCCAGAATTATCAAGGCAGATAATCCACAATATCTGCTTTGAACTGGATTATCTGTATATTGTATGTATATATATCTTGTAAACTGCTCTGAAGAACTATGGACAGAAGTCCGCGACATTGTTTAGGAGGCGGCAACAAAGTATGTCCCAAAGAAAAAGAAAACCAAGAAGGCAAAATGGTTGTCTGCTGAGACACTGGAAGTAGCCCAAGAAAGGAGGAAAGCAAAAGGAAACAGTGATAAGGGGAGATATGCCCAG